ACATACAGGCCTCAGGAGAATTCCGAATTCTGAGCACATGGTCGGGCCCAACATCCTTTTTCAGTCCAGTTAAATACTTACACTTCAGTTAGAATGGGCAGCTTAGTTAATCCAATTGTCAACCCAAATGTGAAAAGGTTTCCTAAATATTTCAGGGCCCTAAAAGTCAATTGGAGGTTGCAAATGGTCCCCTGAGCACCGTCAAATGTCAAAATGTTTCCCCCATGTCCAACCGGGGTCCCCAGGCCTCCAAGACCACATTGTCCCTTTGGTAAAATTGGAACAATTTTGACATTTGGGTTGACAATTGGATTAACTAAGCTGCCCATTCTAACTGAAGCCAAATATCAGAATATTAGGATATTCCCTTATCCTCTGACATTTGGCATCACATACAATGGGTAGGTCAGTGTTTCCAATTGTCAACCCAAAAGTATTTTTCTATAGGTTGTCCTGCGGAACATGGTTTGAAGTGCGTTTCGGAATCTCCCAATTCTTCTACAGTGGGTTTGTCATGCAGGACCCCAGGGCCACTGACAAATGAAAACACTGACCCACCCATTCTAAGTAATGACAATTGTCACAATATTAAGAACATATCTTATTTTCTGACATTTGGCCTCACTTAGAATGGGGAGGTCAATGTTTCCAATTGTTACAGTATTAGGAACATACCTTATTTTCTGATGTTTGGCACCATATTAAAGCGCTCATACAACCCTATTAATTGTTGTTGTTCAAATATCAAAAGTAAAAGTCCTCATTATGCAGAATAATATATGTTCTTAGATTGTTCATTACTTTGTTATTATAACTGGTAAATGTGGAGCTCGTTTAATGAAAAATAGAACATGATAAAATACAATGAAATAATAAAATACAGTAAAATATAATCACATACAATGAAGTAGAAGTACTGTACCTGTAAATGTACATCAAATTCAAAGAGGAGAATTCAGAGAGAAGATTTTCAAAATAAAAAACATTTGTGTGTGTGTGTGTGTGTGTGTGTGTGTATTAGTTTTGTTTTTTGTGCATCTAGAGGACATTTAATATGAATACACACCGACACTAGGTGGACATTTTGTATTAGCAGGACAGGGTCAGTGTCCTGTTAATTCTAAAAATGTAGAAGTGTTTCTACAGAGCTAGAGAGCTCAAATCCAAGAATTATCAGTTATCCAAGTTCTTCTTGTTTTACCTGCATTTTTATTATTTATTCTAGAGGTTCTTATTATAGTGATTTTCTTATTGATCTCTATGTGTATTTATCCTTTATTGTTTATCATTTATCATGTTGTCTGCATTCTGTTACAGAGGTGTTTTGGTTTCAGGGAGGATTTTCAGCAGCACAGACGCTACTGAATGATCATAAAAATATTGAGGAACTACTACAGGCAGCAGTATAGAATAGAATATTTATAATATATAGTTTATATCATACATTCAAGACGGGAAAATGGTGAATTTACAAATCAGTCTGCTTCTTCAGCACCAAAGGATTTATCAATTCTCAGCACAGTTACTGATACTACAGGGACATGATCGAGACCATAGTCTAACTTGCACAAACCTCAGTCAGATAAAGGATGAATGAGTCAGGCAGACTAACATATTCAAATCAACAACCCCACTGCCATCTCTCTGCTATCCACCTACTGGATCCTGTAAAGGTTTATCAGTCTGGTAGTTCCTGTAAGTCTAGCAGAGGCCTTGTAGATCTACATTTTGCAGGTTTTTCAAAGTCCTTGCAGTGCCTGTAAGGGTTCAGCACAGTTCCTGTAATCTAGTGGTCTCACAGTGGTCTTGTATATCTGCCAGAGAGGTTGATCAAAAAGAGAAGCTCAGTCTAGTAGATGTCGAGGTAGTGGGCAGACAGTTCATGTGTGCTATACTGTATATCATTTGCCCAGTAAATCAGGTTCTTCTGGGATGTCCGTCAGGTTTAGTGGAGGCGAGTTGCTCTGTGCTGGTGGTCTGGATCCACGATGTCGCAGGCCATCGGACAGGGCGTCATTCTCACCAGGAAACGGGACTGTCCCCAAAGACTGGAAGGAACAAACCACACTATAATTGAGAGAGTTCTGCAGTAGCTAGCGGTGTTAAGCTAACTGTAGCTCTCGCACCATCATAGGCCAAAACAGTGACATATCACATGAGAATGAACGCTGTAAAATAAATTACAATCATATTTATAACGCCTTACTATATCTGTAATGTTCCTACGCCACGAATGCTGCTGCCTTGCATTGCTCTTGGCTAGTAGAACCATTAGCTTTGTAGCGTTACATAATTTATTGTTGGCTAAAATATATTACCCCTTAATAGTCAACTAAACCATTAGTAGCTGAGAAGAGTCTTAGTCAACACACTTTTCATAAGTCGAATGGTCGCAGAAATAAAATAATGTCAAACTCTGGGACCTCAAAGGACAGGGGGAGGTTTGTCTACATGACTAGCATAGGAGCTAGCAGAGGAGAATGAGTACCAGAATTGGAACCAGGCTCACTTTTTCCGAGACTTACGGAGGCTGGCTGATCTGCACAACTGCAGTGACGTAACCATCTACTAAGGCATGGCACCAATCTATGTATTTGACCCATTTATTTGAAAGTCTCTTTTGTTGTACCTGGTTCTCAGCCAGCGCCTCTTTAGCCATGTAATGCTCCCTCTTTATCTTCATCTCAACCTCCTCGGGGATGTCAGGGACCATCATGTCGATCAGACGGCCGATGAAGAAGACCACATGCTGAGGAAGAAAGACAGGAAGAGCCTTCATCTGGTCACTGCGTCCCTCATTAACTTAGTCATACTTCATACAGTGCAAACCAACTGAATGTTCATTTATTAACTTATTCATTCATTTATTGCCAACACAGCTCTCTATTGTATGAACCTGATGGGCGACAGACACTGACCTCAAACACGATGACAAAACTGAGTCGTATGGCGAGGAGGTGAAAGTAGTCGGGCAGGTGTTCACCATGTTCATCCCTGAAACCCCGATACCTGCACAGGACAACAACAACAACAACAACAACAACAACATTATCAACATTAACACCAAAAACAACAACAAAAACAACATTATCAACAACAACAAATAAATTATCAACAAGGCAGGGTGTGTGTTGCAGGCTATAGTTGTGCGGTGATGTTGCCTACCTGCAGGGTGTGTGTTGCAGGCTATAGTTGTGCGGTGATGTTGCCAGAGTGAAGTCGATGAAGCCGCTCAGTGTTTTGTTTCTGGTGTAGCTGTAGTATTCTCGAGGCAGGAAGGACGAGGTGAACGCGATGAGGAACGCCTACAAACAGGTTGGAAGAAGATCAGATTCTATTAGCTGCTGATCTGTCGTCGATCAGTCCTCACAGAGACAAACACACAGAGAGAGAGAGAGAGTCTTACGTTGCTGAGGACGGCTATGTTTGTGATGAACTGCATGATGGGAAGCCAGATGCCAATGTCCTGAGCTCGCTCCGCCACCGGGCGGCGATATTCCGTCACAAACTTCTGGGCGTCCAAACGAAGCTCCACCCAGTTATTGACAAGGGCGAAGAACGGAGCGAGAGGACACGCCGCCACGAAGATGGTGATGAAACCAAACTGAATCACTAAGGAGGAAGAGGAGTCACAGTGAAGAGTGGTGTTAACCCCATCCGTCTGGCTGTCCCAAGAGTATAAATCCAACAGCACTCACCCATTTCCAAGTATTCGCTAAAGAGTCCCTCACAGACCAGCAGTTGGTAGTCTGCCTCCCAGGGTGGAACCTCCTCCTCTTCCTCTCCCTGGACCTCCTTCTGAGCCTCCTCTTCTTCCCCTGTCTTCACCTCCATCTGAGCCTCCTTCGCTTCGTCTTTCTTCACCTTCTTAACCCGAGGACTTATCTTCCTCTTCTGCCACCAAGACTTCAACTTCCTACCAAACAGTGAGCCGCTGGGTTCAGTCGTAAAGGAGACCTAACTCTCCCGTTTGTTTTTTTTAAGGCCGTCACATGACGAACATTCGACATTCATAAGAAGAAGAACACTGCTCACATTATTATTCTCATGACTTATTATCAAGTTCTCACAAGTTAGTATCTTCTCTTCTCATTTACAGAAATTATTATCTTGTTCATACATTATTATCTTATTCTGACAAACTACTATCTTGTTATTAAAGTTATTATCCTGCTCTCACAGGTTCTCAGTAGTTAGTATCTTGTTTGCATCAGCTGCATTATGTCATTCCATGTGAGTGTTTGTATTTACGGTAAAATGAACTCCTGGGCGTTGTTGATCAGCTGTTTTCCCACCATGATGACCAGCAGCTCCTGAGCCAGTTCAATGAGACATCCGCCTGCTCCGCACTGTAACGAACACACACACACACACACACACACACACACACACACAAACATCTGTTCATGTTGTTGTTTCGCCTTTAATGAATATAATTGCACCTGGAAACCCCACCTTTACACACACACACACACACTTTTAAAATCCTACCCCCCCCTTCATTTCCCAGTTTCAGAGCGCTCTAACTCTCTGACTCTGAGGTTTCTACTACTGTCACTGGCTTTTGGTATAAAGACCTACATGTTCATACATCCTTTCTAGTCTTCCGACCACTCAAAGCGCTTTTACACTACGTGCCACATTCACCCTTTCACACACATTCACACAGCGATGGCAAAGTCCATCGAACAGAAACTAACTCATTTATACACATTC